AAATACTGTTCGCCTTTACCTGATAAGTCCTGGAACATCGACTCCAAACGGCACCGGACCCGAGGTGGTCAGGACAAAACGGCCGCTGGGATTCTGGATCTGATTCTTCAGAAAAAGGGAAACCTGAGACGAAAAGGCAGATTAATTATTAGCCTAAATATGTTTTTTCTTCTGTGGAGTTGATCAAAAGCAGGACTGGACCAGCAGAGGACTCACCCGTACGTGCATCTCTTGGACAAATATGAGCAGAGTTTGTCTGAGGAACTGGAGTTCTCCTTCTGATAAGCCGGAGTAAACCTCCAGGAAGAGGAGATGAATGCGGCGTTTATGGCAAACCAGAGTTGGTTGGACTTTAGGAAGCATGAAAAGATCCACAGCTATACCTCAATGATTTTCCTGTGGGTCTCGTTCACCTGGTTCAGGACCACAGGAGTGTCTCTGACCATCTCTCTGATGGAGTCGATGTGATTGTAGGAGATGAGCAGAAGGTCTCTGGGCCGAGGACAAAGGAAGAGCTGATATTTGAAGGCCATGATCATCAGCTCATAAAGCTGCAGGATGAAGAGGAGAAATGGAAAAGCAGTTTAAGGACAGAAACCATTGAAAACACAGAAAATCCTGCAGACAGGTTTTCCTTTCAAGCTTCAGAACTTCTGAAGTTCATCATAGCACTGAAACAGCTCTGGTGAAAGTCACTAATGATATTCTCATGGCCTCAGATAATGGACTTGTATCTGTGCTCGTCCTGTTGGATCTCAGTGCTGCATTTGATCCAGTTGATCAGAATATTCTTTTAGAAAGACTTGAATATTTTGTTGGAATTAAAGGAACAGCTCTAGACTGGTTTAAATCTGATCTATCTGATCGAATTCAGTTTGTTCATGTTAATGATAGATCTTCCTCACGCTCAAAGGTTACCTGTGGAGTACCACAGGGATCAGTGCTAGGACCAATTCTCTTTACTTTATACATGCTCCCAATCGGTAGAGTTATTAGACAGCATGGGATTAATTTCCACTGTTATGCTGATGATACCCAGCTATATCTGTCTATAAATCAGTCACTTCATTTGGATGGGATTAAACTGATTTCAGATAATAAAGTAAAAAATCTTGGTGTTATTTTTGATCAGGACCTGTCATTTAAATCCCAGATCAAAGAGGTTTCTAGAATTTCCTTCTTTCATACTTCCCTGAACGGCGTAAACCACCTAGTCGGTCGTATTTCTGAGTGTCTCGTCTTTGGGGTGAAGCAGTTATTGTCTCAGCGTGTTGCCCGGTTTGAAGTTCACAGGGATCTGATGCTGGTTTAAAATCCTCCTGAGTTTTTCAGAGACTCCAGCAACATAATAATAAGCATATAAATTGGGTAAGTAAATAAGATGTGCGAATGGATGAGGTATATTTACTGTTAAAATAAGATAACTAGATCAGTTTTCCTTGAAATAGGACAATAAAGTCTTTTTTTATTTTAAAAGTAAATTGTCTTGTTACATGGGAAAGTGTCCCACTTAACGCCTAAATTCAAGAATAAATTCCCTTATTTTAAGAAACAAAGTACTAATTTAGATTTTTACATTTTTTGCAGTGCTGCTGACCTTCGCTAATAAAACCCAAACGGGTTCATTCCTTCTGGTTCTGGGAGCTGAACTGTCCGATGATTGGTTGTCTCTCTTGTTGAAGGAGCTGCGCTCCCTAACTGAGCGCTGAGACGTGGAGAGAAAGCTGTGGGTGTCCACCACCTACCCTGTCCATGCTGGCCGGGTTCAGCCTCATGATGGATGCGTGCGCTAACCGGGTCAGCACCGTTTTCATGGTCCGGTGTGAATACAGCTGCTGAGGTTTCAGGAGTTCATCCATGAAGGACTTACTGAACATGGTCCCAACGATGTCGTTCAGAACTGAGATTCAGCAAGGGACAAAAAGACAAAGTCCTTCAAATGGACGGGATCCTCTAAATGGACATTTATTCATCCTCTGAGCTGCTAAGGAACAACGTCTAAAGCCTCATCTGTCAAATAAAGCTAAAAAAATGATTTATTTCATGAAAACAAAGCTGAACTACAGACTAAAGTTCTGCAGTGACACAAATGTTCTGGTTCTACGACTAAATCGAATCTGTTTTAAAGCCCAGAATGATGAACTAACTTCACATCAGTCCATCAGGAGATCAGCAGCAGAAGCTGTTAAAAGGACAGAAGCCATTGTTCTGGTTCTGGTTCTGGTTCCACCCAAAGAACACCGCCAGAAAACTGCTGCTGAGAACATGGCAGCAGGTGGAAGAGTTTACTAGATCATCAGGGAATTAAAACCAGAAGTTTAGCTGTAGAGAAGAAGCCTGAGGACATCAATGAAGGTCCAGCTGGCTGGACAGGACACTATGAGACGGGTACCACCAGTGCAGAGCTTGCTAAACTTTAGCAGCGGGTGGATGTGATGCTTCATTACTGAACCATCTTGATCCAATCAAAGAGCAAGAAATAACAGTGGGTCTCCATCAGTAGGGATTAGGTCCAGAAGCTGAGAGAGGCTTCCAGAAGGAAGGAAGAAGAAGAATCGACTCTGGGAATAATCAGTCTGAGAACATGGAAGCCATAAAACTAAATATTTGTGTTACTGCAGAAACGTTTGCTCAATTAAAGACCTGAGTCACTCTAGGAGGAGGGAACTAACCAGTCCTACAGAACGATCATCTCATACCTCTCCTTCTGTCTCCTTCTGACCAAACTCCTGCAGAGCAGAGATGGAACAGAGGGAGTCTGTTGTTAAACAAGCTGAGCTAAAAGGTAGACATGTAGGCGTTCATCAGCTGGAGCTCCAGCCACACCTGTCAGGCAGGCCTACCTTTCTCTGACCTGTCCTCAGACGTGTTGTTGGCCTGCAGGCGCTGGTCCAGGACGTAAAGCATTTCCCCTCCCAGATTTATAAAGACCAGAGGCAGAGTCCTGATGGACATCCTGCTCCGCCTGAGACAGGTTTACCTCCCAAAAGCTAAAACGGGGGCAGAGGTCGGCGCTCCCTGTGGACGCTTCCTCCTGTCATCTGAGCAACAGCTTCTGCTCGTTCTGGTTGCAAAGCTCCACCTGAGACGGCTTCATGTTAGCGTCTAAACTGATCCAGCTTCTCTCTAAGATGCAACAGGTGGTCAGGAAGAGGATCAGCAGAGGTCAGCCTCAGGCTTACTGGGAGGATAAAGAGAACATGGAGGCTGAAGCACAACCAGAGGGGAAGCTACAGGCTAGCTGTTAGACAGGAGTCAACTATGCTAAACACATGGCAAGGTTTGCTGTTATGATCAGAACAGTTTTACTTTAACATCCTGGCTGCTGCGGGTCACGTTGTCACAGTTTAAATAAATAAAGCAAATGCTTCTTTTTCACAT